GGGGCGTCAGGAGTCTGACCTGGACCAGGACTACAGAGCCCATTTTTAGCCCTAGTCAATTTCTAGAACCAAGGGTAGCCAGCTTACAGATCCTTCTTATTAGAACAGGGCCCTCAAGTTTACCCATGCACTAATGTCTGGGGCTCTCTCTACCTGTTTATCCTCCTGGGCCTTAGTTTTCCCATCTGAGGAATGGAACGCTGGGGGAGATAGACACACAGCGAATTGCCAAACCTGACACACTCCTCTTCTGGTGGGCAGCCTGGGTTCAGCTTGGGACAGAGGCTGTTCAGAGCCGTGCCTGGAGTCCACTCCCCTCCCTCCCCAGGTGGCTGGATGCTGAAGATGCCCCGGGCACAGGAGCGAGACAGAGGTTTCTACTCATGCCTGGCAAGCAACGAGGCTGGGGAGGTTCGGAGGAACTTCAGTGTGGAGGTCCTGGGTACGCCCTAGCCCGTTCCTATGAGCACCCCACGAATCCCTCCTCTCTTGTCTTGGAGCTTCTGGGGGCTATCCCCAGGACTAAGGGCTCATGCTATAGGGGGCACTCAACACAGGAAGGGGGGAAAGACCAAGCCTTATTTTGTTTGCCTCATCAGCGGCCTCTGCTCTGAAGTTGCCATGGAACTTTCTGGAAAGAGCAGGGACTAACCCCAAGTGACAGGGGGCACATATTTTCAACACCACCCAACTGTCTTCACAGGAAGGGGGGAGGGACCAAGCCTTGTTTTCTTTGCCTCATCAGCGGCCTCTGCTCTGAAGTTGCCATGGAACTTTCCGGAAACAGCAGGGACTAACCCCAAGTGACAGGGGGCACATATTCTCAACACCACCCAACCGTCTTCCTCTGATCAGGGCCTTCCCGCAGAGGCACTGGGACTTCCCTCAGCCAGCAGCAAATGTTTATGGAACTCACTGCCCGTGGGAGCAGGCCTAAGAGGATGGGAAACCGAGGCACGGGAAACTGAAGGCGGTTGCCTTGGGCACTTGGTTCTGGGCTCTTCGCTTCCTGATTCATGGTCGTTCAGCCAACCCTGGTCAGTAACCGTCCATCTCCCTGCTTCTTCCCAGTTCCTCCCAGGATTGAGAACGAGGACCTGGAGGAGGCAGTCAAGGTCCCTGAGGGGCAGACAGCCCACCTGACGTGCAACGCCACAGGTGAGGGCCACTCACGGTGGGTCGGGACAAGCATGAGAAGTCAGCTTCAGAGAGGAGGGGGTGCCCGGGGCTTCTGGCCTGCCCCCAGCCCCAGTGCTCCCTGTGGAAGGTCTCTGTACATCTTGAACTTGGTACCACATCCCTGCTCATCTTCGCACTGGCTCTGCCTCTGCCCTAAACACTCCTCCCCACTCCTCACCTGGCTAGAGACCTCAACTTCCAGGACTTTCCACAACGCGTCCTTGGCTGACCCCTTGGGCCTGTGGGCTGCCTCCACTGGGGTCCCACAGGCCCCAGGGCTTTCTTGTCCCAGCCCCAAGCACCCTGGACCATAGTAACCTTGACATCTGTATACCCCAGCTGGGATCTGAGGTCCATGAGGACCCAAGGACTGCCTTGTCACCGTGGTTCTCCCAGTGCCTACCAGAAGAGGCTCCCATTAATGCTTGTGGACTGGGGGGGATGGATGGGTGAATGGATGAAAGGAATCACTTGCCTTTCTGTCTTGCCTGTCTACACCAAGCGATCTCTGCCCCGTCCTCCCTAAAGAAAAGGCAGTCAGCCACATAGGAAAGGTCCCGGGCCAGGCTTGGAGGCTGCTCCTATGTCGTGCCCTGCTGCAGGGGCCTCTGGCCTGAGAATGGAAAATTTATGTCCCCTGCCCTACCCCGGAGCCACCTCTGACCTCTTGGCCAACCCAGTCAGAACCTTCTGAATGGTCTCCTCTGCCTGTCCCCCTCCTTACAGGCCACCCACAGCCCAAGGTCACGTGGTTCAAAGATGGCCGGCCCCTGGCTGGTGGAGACGCCTACCGCATTTCTCCAGATGGAGCTCTCCTGCAGATCGTCCAGGCCGACCTGTCTAGTTCTGGCCACTACTCCTGCATTGCAGCCAGTGCCGTAGGGGAGAAGACCAAACACTTCCAAGTTAGCGTCCTGGGTAAGTGCTGGGCATCTCCGGGCCTCCCTGGGGGCCGAAAGGAGGGGGAGCCAAGGTGGCCAGCTCCGAACAGACAGCTTCCCCCAAAGCACTCTATTTTTTTTTTCCCATTTCTTCAGGTTCAACAACAACAAAAATAGTCATAGCTGTGTTGGCTGAACGTTTGTCACGGGCTGGGCGTTTGCACAGGCCTGATTGGTTGGACAAGCCTAGGGGGTGGGAGATGTGCTTGTCCCTCTGTGCCACCAACGAAGCGCTGAGGCTTGGAGAGGTGACAGGGCCCCCAGGTGTCCGTCCGTCTGCCGAGGGTAGTTGGCACGGACTGTCCCGGCAGGAGAAACGGGGATCTAGAAAATGAGAGGACTTAATAAATAAAATCTGCCTGTACAAATGCTGGGGGTGAAAGGGACAGGCCCCTGCAGGACCTGAAAGAGGAAATCTTAGGACCAATGAGAGCAGAGGGAGAGGGGGACAGATTGGAACACAAGCCGAGTTGACAAGGCTCTGGTACATGAGTCGATGGGCTGGCTGTTAAGAGCCTTCTGGGGAAATTGAGGCGGGAATCGTCCTAAACTTCCCCTGGGGCACTGCGTAGCGGTGGAAAGCGTAGGCTCAGAAGCGAAGCACCAGGAGCTGAGATCTTTCTGGATCCTCGGGCCTAGGATTAGGGATCTCTGTTAACGATCGTGGCACCCCCCACCCCCGCCTCCCAACAGTGGTTCCCACCATCCTGGGAGTGACCGAGGACAGCGCGGATGAGGAGGTGACAGTGACCATCAACAACCCCATTTCTCTGATCTGTGAGACACTGGCCTTCCCCTCCCCCACCATCACCTGGATGAAGGACGGTGCCCCGTTTGAGGCCTCGAACAACATCCAGATGCTCCCAGGTGATGCCCTCTGTCGGTTGGAGGAAGGGACTGGTGAGCCTGAGTTCGTGTGACCTCGGGGGTGACCCTGCCCCCTGCCCCCACAAGCAGGCACCCACGGGCTGCAGATCCTGAATGCCCAGAAGGAAGATGCGGGACAGTATACCTGCGTGGTCACCAATGAACTTGGGGAGGCCATGAAGAACTACCACGTGGAGGTGCTCAGTGAGTCGGGGACCCTCCCGGGCACCGGCAGGGCGGGCAGGAGGCCGCCTGGGAGCCCTGGGGCCCCGGCACCTGGGCCACACGGATGCCCTAGGTATCTTCATGTGGCTTACCTCCTCTGACGGTCTCCAGGCAGCCAGGGCTGACTCAGTCATTGTAGGACCAAGGGCACCAGGAGATGGAAACAAGTGAGTTAGGACTTGGGCCACATGGACGCAGATTCCCGCCAGTCCCGGTTTCCTGCTGTCACCCGCGCCGCGGTGCGGCCAGAGGCCCTACACCTTGAGACCTGGCACCCCCAGAATGGCCCCCAGAGGTCACCCCAGGAAGTCCCCCGCCTCAGACCTGCCCTGTCCCGTAAATCGCTCTCAACCAACACTCTCTCCCCTAAATGAACAGTGACAGGAGCGGGTCGGTCTCCAGGGTCCCTGTGGCTCTGCTCTTGGGAACCAGCCGCCCATTTCTGGGACGGCCCTGGGGCCACAGCGGGCACTGGGTCTCAGCAGCCCTTTCCTAAGCCTGCTCCTCAGACCCCCTTGTGGCTTTCAGTCCCTCCTTCCATCTCCAAAGACGACCCCTCGGCGGAGGCCGGCGTGAAGGAAGTGAAGACCAAGGTCAACAGCACTTTGACCCTGGAGTGTGAGTGCCAGGCCGTGCCCCCGCCCACCATCAGTTGGTACAAGGATGGACGGGTAAGCTTGGGGCCCCGGGGTCCCCCTGCTTCCGCTTGGAACCTTCCAGAGAAGGCAGTCAGAGTACCTGGCCCCAGAGCTGGCCTGGGCCCTGCCCCACTTTATATTTTAATAAGAAATCCAGCTCTTTGTAGGGAACAGCTGTCATCAACATTAAACTCCACATTCGCCTGTTTAACTCACCCGGGTTTTCGGCTACACGGGTTCAGGGTTCAAAACTAACCCTAACCCTAACCCTCACTTTGTGTTGTATTTTTAAAATTGTATTCAACTCTTAAGGACTCTCATTTAGGTCTTTTCTGCCCCTTCTTTCTTTTTTTTTTTTTTTTTTTAATGTTTGTTTATTTTTGAGAGAGAGAGAGAAAGACAGTGAGTGGGGGAGCGGCAGAGAGAGAGGGAGAGACAGAATCGGAAGCAGGCTCCAGGCTCGGAGCTGTCAAAGCACAGAGTCTCTGGCATGCGCGCTCAAACCAATAACCACGGTAGACGCACGCGTGGACTGGCTGAAGTTGGGATGAACCACTGAGTTGCCCAGGTTTCTGTTATTTCACCGCCCCCCCCCCCCACTTTTCCCACCCCCAGCCTTGGGTGACCCTCAGCCAGCGGCCAAAAGATATCTCTGGGCGGTAAGGTCGCTCCTCCAGACCGCCCACGAGGTCTCGATCTGGCTACATGACATTGTGCGTGCCACCAACGGCTGGCAGGGATGACGGTAGGACTACCGTGCTCATTCAGGGTGGGTGGGGCCGGGGTGGGCGCACAGGGTGGGTGGGGAGGTCCTCAAGCTGGAATGGCCCAGGCAGAGGATTCTGTCCCTTTCGGGCGGGTTTTTCTTTTCTCATTAAAAGCGTACGCCATGTCTACCCTCTCTTGGTATCTCCTGGCTCCAGGCTCTTTCCTTAACTGACTGTGACCTTGGGGATGAGTCACTCCCTTCCCCTGCCTCCCGCCTTGGTTTTACCTTCAGAAGATGTCTGGTCCTAATCAGGTGGCCTCAAATTCCCCTCCACTTCTGAAAGCCAGTGGGTTTTTGAAATGTTGTGCTCCCGGGCCAGCAAACCCTATATATTTACTTCTCTCTGCAAGCCCTGCTTCCCCCCCCTGAGAGGTGCTCCATGCCACACAGTCTCTGAGTCCACTGGACGCGGGAGCTGCAAGAGGGCAGAACTCTCATCCTGCTCAGATAGTAGCTGCTCAATAAACGCCTGTCTGAAAGAACCAGTGTCTTCAAAGCTGCCCCCTGACCTTAGGGGGCCCCTCCTCTGAGGGACTTCTCCAGCCCCGAGAGAGTGCTGGCACGGGAGTCTTGAACAGTTTACACCTCATCCCTTCAGCTGTGCAAAGGTCTAATGGTTTGTCCCCCACCCCAGTGCCCCCCATGTTCCCCAGTAGGCTGGCGATGCTCGTGTGACTCCCAGATCCCCGCCCAGGGAAGACACAGGTCCCGCTGGGGCGAGTATCGAGATTGAACAACCCTGCCTACCTGTACTGCTTATTGATCAGCCATCCCTCCCCCGAGCTCAGCTGGCGAGAGGGCTCAGCCTCGGGCTGGCCGCAGACGTGGGGTGTGTGCTCTCAGCAAGGTGTTTAGGGTGTGCCCGAGGTTTGCCTGCAGGCAGGGGATCGGGGCACACTCCACCTCCCCGGACCGCCCATGCCATGTGTGTCCTGGGAACTCTCCTGTAAAAAAGCTGCTGTTGTTCTAGACTGCGGGCAGGCTGCGCAAACCACCCTGGACCTTAGCTGCCTTTTGTAAACTGCTGACACCCTTTGCTCATTTGAGGCAGGAGCAGGATCCCCTTGCCTCTGGTTTTCAGGAACTTATTCACCTCCCAAAGCTTCAAGGTCAGGCATCCTGGGATAATTGGCCAAAGCTGGTGTCTTTCTGCAGGGGGAGGCGGTTCCTTTGTTGTGATCTCATGAGGACCACACTGGGGGGCAAGGGAGTCCAGGCACGGAGCCCCGTATCGTTCCCCCATCACGGGGAGATCATGTGACCTTTCAACGTAGCATTTGGCCTGTGTAGGTCCTGCCAGGTCAGTATGGTGGGGCGGGTTGGGGGAGCCCAGGGCCTCAGGATGATGAGGGGCCATTCCAAGGGTCAGGATTGCAGGTGTTTCAAAGAAGACAGCCTTTGGGAGACGGGAGGATCTAGAGAGGCGAGCAAGTTACTTTTCTGAGGTGTTGCTTATCGCTGTCAGAAACCCCGACTGACCCCTCAGCCCGGCTACTGCCCTTGGATCGGGATGTGATCCAGATCCTGGGTACACAGTGAGAGTCAGTCACATGCTGATTCTTTTACTCAGGTCTCCCATCACAGAGGTTAATCCTGCAGCCATCAGCTGATCCCCTGGTCTCACATAACCCCCTCAACCCTACCACTGCCCCTTGACCCTGGCCACCCACTCCCAAGCATGGGCACATGGTGGTGGTGGCCACAGGGTGGATCCTTGCTCTTGTAACCTGACCACAGATCAACCCTTGCCGACAAGTGACCCCTCTCCCCCCCCCCCCCCCCCCCCCCCCCCCGCCACGCCAAAAATGCAGCCACTGCTTCGCAGTCCTGGCTACATTGTCCTCACCCCAGTTTGTAGGTGTAATGGTAAGCTTCTGACCCTGGCCATTGGCACACTACAGTTTCGGGCCAGCTGCATCTCCCCAACCCAGACTCGAATTTATAGATTCCCAACCTTGCCTGTTGGAGAGACCAATGCTAGCTCCCCCTCTGAGCAGATGCCAGGATCTGGCGCTGGCTGTCTCTTGATCACAGAGTCCCAGGTGACACCCCCAGCCCCCCGCTTCCCCCTCCCCCGCAATCACCACAGCCCAAGAGCTGCCTCCTCGCCTCCGAAAAGCCAACGCCTGGACCTTTGCCCAGCTCTCTGCCCCCTCCCTCTGCCTTCATCACGGAGCTGGGCTCAGCGCCGCCGGGCGCTCTTGGGAAGCCTCAGTCCTTCCATCTGTGAGATGGGAGTGGTCCTAGCACACAGAGTCAGAGGCCGGGAAAATGCTCAGCCCAGGGCCCGGCACCCCGCAGGCGGGGCAGGCTGATTCTCCTCCATTTATCTCCGAGGAGGTGGGCCAGGGACGTCTCCCAGGTCCCCTCCAGGGGAAGGAGCGGGCCTCCTTGCCCTCGTTCAGGTCTCGGTCCTGTGTCCCCGCAGGAGGTCGGGTCCTGCAGATTCCCCTGGTGCGTGCAGAGGATGCCGGGAAATACTCATGCAAGGCCTCCAACGAGGTGGGCGAGGACTGGTTGCACTACCAGCTGCTTGTGCTGAGTGAGTGGCCGGCCTGGGGCCCGGGGGGTCTGGGTCTGCAGGGCCCATGGCAGGGGGTGGGGAGGGGCTCCTTGCCGTAGGGGCTCAAGGCAGAGTGCATAGCCAGTCCTGCTGTACCGAGAGGTTGATAACATGAGGCACACGACCTTGGACTGGGGGCAGATTCCAAGTGGCTCTGTCGCCTTGGGCAAATCACGGGCGTCCGTCCCTGTGCCCCAGGGTCCCTAGCTGTGGCGCCGAGGGGGGCTTGGCCGGTAGGGCACAGGGATCCCCAGCCGGAGCCTGGCGCCACGGGCTGCTCTCACCTCCACACCCGCCCCCCCTACCCCAGCGACCTTTCCCAGGCAGGCTGCCCACTCCTCAACCTGCTCTCTCTGACCCCCAGCCCCACCTGTGATCCTGGGTGACACAGAGGAGCTGGTGGAGGAGGTGACGGTCAACGCCAGCAGCACCGTCAGCCTCCAGTGCCCGGCCCTGGGCAACCCCGTGCCCGCCATCTCATGGCTCCAGAACGGGCTGCCTTTCTCCCCGAGCCCACGGTTGCAGGTCCTGGAGGACGGGCGCGTCTTGCAGGTGAGGACGTCCCCCGTGACTCAGTCCTGCTGGTCCGGGGACCAAGGAGCTGACGTTATCTGTGCCAAACGAGGCTCTTTGCCCGAGAGCGTGTTGGAGCCCCTGGGATTAAGTTCTGCCCACCAAATAATCCTACGTGAGGAGCTCGCTGGCAGCCCAGGGCCACACGGAGTACCCGCAGAGGACACATACGCGTGCCACATCTGGAACCCGACGCGGCAGGAAAGCCGCGCGACCCTCACAGAGCTGGGCCCGGCACCCTCGGTCACCCAGATCCAGGCACAGCTGTACGGGTGCCCAGCACAGCACGGAGCGGCCCTGCTCGGGGCTGGGGTTGGGGGGGGGACGGTTGTCACCATCTAGTTTGCTATAGGGAATCACCTAGCACCAAGCTCACGCTGTGCCCCGAATGTCCCAAAGAGCCCTTGACGGACGTGGAGGGGGGGGTGCCCCTCGAGCACTGCTCCGTGCAGACAGAGGCGGCGGGCAGACAAAGGAGCCCTCACGGTCCTTCCTGGGGGAGCCCAGAGCCCGCAGGCCCGTGGTGTCTCCCGGGCACCTTGTCCCTGCGCCCGCAGGTCTCCACGGCCGAGGTGGCCGATGCCGCCAGCTACATGTGTGTGGCCGAGAACCCGGCGGGCTCCTCGGAGAAGCTCTTCACCCTCAGGGTACAAGGTGAGCCGGGCTGAGCAGCGGCCCCTGGGGGGCTCCCAGCTCGGGAGGGCCGCTGCTCCCTCTCTGATCTCTGAGCCTTGTGTCGTCATCTGTGGGGTAGTCGTGACAAATAGTCGTGACTGCACAGCCGTGCTTAAAGATGCGCCAAGGCAAGGCGCCAGGAGCTCCGAAGGGCCGTGCTCCACTCTGTGGCTCCCTGCCCCCCTGACCCGAACGCGCTCTCATGGGTCTTTCTTTCTCCCGGTGGCTGCGGGGACAGCCCCACCACGAATCACAGGCCCAAGCTTGGAGCAGGTCACTGCCACGGTCAACAGCAGCGTCTCCCTGTCCTGTGACGTCCATGCTCACCCGAGCCCTGAGGTCACGTGGTACCGGGACGGCCAGGCTGTCTCCCTGGGAAAAGAGATCTTCCTCCGGCCTGGTGGGTAAACTGAGGCTTGGAGCCCAGCCTGAGGCTGTGTGGGGAGTCAGAGTTGCTTCCGCAAACCTGGGGACCACACCGGGAGTCTGGGAGGACTTGGGGACTGTGGGCCGGGGCTCCGGGGCCTATTTGCTGGTGCGAGGGGCCGGGCCCCCCCACACAGGCACCCACACGCTGCAGCTGGCCAGGACGCAGCCGTCAGACTCCGGGATGTACATGTGTGAGGCCCTCAACGCCGCCGGCCGAGACCAGAAGCTGGTGCAGCTTAGCGTGCTGGGTACGTCCTGCCTGTCCCCCACTCCTTCGGTGAGCCCTCGGCCCCACACGCTGAGGCGGCACAGCCAGGAAAGGGGGCAGCCGGCCCCGGGGGGAGCCTGGGATGCCCTGCACCCTCTCTGGGCAGCAGGGTGGGTAACATCCTGGCCTGTAGAGTTGGACACGTTGCGTCTGAGACCCACCTGTGCGCTTCGTTGCTCTGTGATCTGGGGCAAGTCGCGTTCCCTCTCTGAGCCTCAGGCCTCCCGTCTGTAAGGTGACGGTTGGCACAAGGATGGTTTGTGGGTGCTTACCCGGCACGCCGTGAGCCCCGAGGTCGAGGAGGGGACAGCAGGACAGCCGCGGGGGGGCTGGCCCAGGAGGGGCCCTTCCCAAGCTGATTGATCCGAGGTTCTCGGCATGCGGCCTTTGTCGGGGCCTCTGGTCTTCAGACTCCTCTTGGGGAGAAGCTGGCCCAAGTCGTCATGACCCAGAGCTCACTGGAGGTTTCCATCTAGCCCCGGGGCCGGTTGATTTATCAGCGCGGTGTTCACCTGCTGTGTGTGCCCTGTGGCGGGTCCCGTGGGCTCACGGCCGGGGGTGGGGGCTTCTGTGCTGCTTTGCTGGAGGGACGTGGGCTGTGGGGGACCCCCATGGGGGGCTCTGACCCAGCCAGGGCCTGCCCCGTGCAGCAAAGAGCCCAGGAAGGCCATCGGGGGATCTCCCCATCTAAGAAACTGAGGCCCAGAGAGGGCAGGAGGCTTTTCCCAGGACCTGGACTCTCGTCCCCCCGCTCCCCGGGTCTGCGTCATCCCTGGGGCCGGCTCCACTGCGTGACCCCTGTGGGCCTCCGTCGGCTGTCTCCCCTGGCTGGAACCAGGGAGGACACCGGGAAGGCTGCTGTGCCTCAGTCCGCTCACCTGTTTTCCCAGTGCCCCCCACCTTCAGGCAGGCTCCCGGCGGCCCCCAGGATGCGATCCTGGTCCGGGCTGGGGACAGAGCAGTCCTGAGCTGTGAGACCGACTCACTCCCTGAGCCGACCGTGACCTGGCTTAAAGACGGGCAGCCCCTGGTCCCGACGCAGCGCACCCGGGCTCTGCTGGGTGGGCAGAGGCTGGAGGTCCAGGACACCCAGGTGAGCGGCCCCGAGGCACGGGCAGCACTGGGTGGTCGTGGGGCCCGGTCCTGGTGAGCCCAGGAGGCAGGCAGGGTCAGGCAGCTGCGTGGCAGGGTGTAGGGACGGTCACCTCCTTAGTCTACAGGGCCTCGCACCAAGTTGCTCAGCAGCCTGCAGGGCAGTGGTGTGAGAAGAGCACGGGGCGCCAGAGCTGGCTCTGAACCGACCTTGAGCCGTCCGTGCCCCGGCACCTGCCTCCATTTCCCTGGGATCTAGAAGCCTTCTCCAGGCCCCCCTGGCTGCGACCCTCTGGGAGCCTGCTCTGCCTACCCTCCCTGGTGTGGATTAGACGCTCACAAGTGTTTGTTGGCTGGATATTTGCTGCTCCTCTGGGAAACCTTGCTGGGCTCCCGTCTCCTGGCCCAGCTCCGTCCCCCCCGCCCCCGCCGTGAGGGGCTTTTTCCTCCGGGCTTCGCTGATGTGCAGGCCCAGGGGCGGGTGGGGGTCCGGAACCTATGCACTCACCCTCCAACAACCCTCCTGCTTCTCGAGGTTCTTGGGAAAGGCCAGCGGGTCCTGTCTCCTCTTCGGCTTCCCAGGCGGGACCAGCATATTTGGGGAGTCCCTTCTCCAGAAGGTTCTGAGGCCTGGGTGTTTTGGGGGGCCCTAGGTATCCCCCTCCCGGCCTCGTGCACACCATCACCGCGTGCTCTCTTTGTCCCAGGTGTCGGATAAAGGTTTATACAGCTGTAGAGTCAGCAATACCGCGGGGGAAGCCATGCGGACGTTTGTCCTCACTGTCCAGGGTAAGCTGGGGACCAGCCTGAGAGCATTGCCGTGGGACCCCCTGGCAGCACACAGGGCCGCCAAGGATGGGAGGGGCAGTAGCTAGAAAGAGTCAGTGGCCCTGCGTACTTAGGGCACAGGATACGGCACTGAAAAGACCAGGACTGTTGTTGACTTGCTCTCTGGGGCTCAGCAGGGCGCCTTGGTTCCTCTGAGCCTTGGGTTTATCTTCCGGTGAAAGGAGGAAAAGTGATACCTGCCTAGTCGGCAGACAGGGAGCGTTCGATTGACGGGCTGCCGTGAGTGTATCTATAAAGCGCCCAGCACGGCCCTGGGAGAGTCAGGCAGTTGGAGCCCTGCAGCCACGTCGCCACTAGTTTGAGCCCTGAGGGGCCTGCTCCCTCAGCCCAAGGACAGAACACAGATGGCATTTGACTGGATGTGGCTCAAGCTGGGGGGAAAGGGGGAGCTCGCTTTAGGGAAGTAAAGGATGAAGGCTCAGCCAGACTTTCTTGGCATCAGGTATTGTATCAGTTAGAATATAAGCTCCGCTGTGTAACAAAGAGACCCCAAACCCCAGTGGATTAAACGAGAGAGAACTTTACCTTTCTCGTGCAAAAGCCCAGAGGTGAGTGTCTAGGCTGGGGGTCGGTGGGGGGGAGCTCGGGGCCTTCCGAGCGGTAGGTAAATTACTGAGTGGTAATCTGGGGCCCGGGATCTTTCCGTCCTGTCGGCCACCCGCCCCTTAGGGCACTGCCCCTGTCCACATGCATCCCGCCCCAGTTCACAGGAAGCAGAAAGGAGCAGGAGCAGAGGGCAAGCATTTTTGTTTTGAGCGAGTGATGCCTGGATCCCGTCAGTGGGAATATAGGCCGCTGGCCGCAGCAGGCTGCAAGGGAGACTGGGAAATGTCGTTCTACCTGAGCGAGCCCGTACTCTGCTAAACTGCTGTGCGAGATGGGAAGGACAGGTGCGTGTGGGGGGGTGGGGGGTTGGGGGGGGCGGACATCAGCTGTCCGCCCCAGAAGGCAAAGCCAGGAGCCTGCCCACCAGGCAAGTAGCAGGTGGAGCCAACCGTGAGCCATATTGAATACGGCTGTTGAAACTTATCGACACCGGGTTTGCTGCTTCAAGCCTTCTCCTGTTGGCTGCTTTGACGGGTGGTGAGAAGCGGGGGGGAACGTCTGGTCCCTGAGGACAAAGATGTTTCATCCCGAGCACAGCCATTTTTGTTCCACTGGTAGCGGTTGCCTGGGACGCGTGACGCCATCCTGGCTGAGCAGGAGAGAGTGTTGGGATCGATTAGTGATGTCTGCCCTGTTCACAGCCGGGCACTCACCATCCTTGGGCTGAGCGGACCCCTCTGGGCTCTGCTTTGCAGGCAGTTGCTGGTTCTGTTTACATCTGTGAGTGAGGCAACCTTTATTGCTACCGATGGCAAAGCATAACACGTCAACTGCTAACCAGAAGGAAGAGCCGTTGAGTGTCCCTAATCCGCCCGAGCGGAAGGAAGGGGGCCGCGGAATCTTAGGATCCTGGCAATCTGGCTTCTCTCCTGCAGTGCCCCCAACATTTGAGAACCCCAGGACAGAGAGAGTGAGCCAGGTGGCCGGGAGCCCCCTGGTGCTGAGCTGTGATGTGACCGGGGTCCCTGCACCTACTGTCACCTGGCTGAAGGACAGAATGCCTGTCGGTGAGTGCATCCCACCCTCTCAGCGATGACACAACAATGGCAGTGACCTTGGCGAAATCAAAGGCCGGCGGGGTCCTGTCATCCCAACAGGGATCCTGTCATCTTTCGACCCGATCGGCCCTTGAAACCCCCGTGTGGAAAACCATTCCCGTGGGGGCTCAAAGGCTCCCTGCGTTTGTGTCCACAATCAGCTGCCACAAGTTGGGTGCAGGGTGGGTGCTGAGGGCCCGGCCGGCCTGCCCCTGGGCTTGGCATCGGCCCCCAAAGCTGCTGCTTCCCCCAGCAACTCAGCTGCATCTGGCCCGGCTGCTGGTCACCCCCCCTGTCCAGGCCTTCGTCCCTCTCCCCTCACCCACCCGTAGGTCTATCGGCAGAGCCCTCCCTTCGTCAGCTGCTAGACACCTCTGGTGCCAGCCAGCTCTCTGGTGCCCGTAGCCGTTCCCTTTCCAGCCACCACGGTCCCCCTGCCCCGGGAGGGCAGCAGCCCCCACACGGGTCCTTGGCCCAGTCCACATCTCTGGTGCCGTCTCCAGACGGGGAGGAAGGGATCTCAAAGTGCAGCTCTGAGGAGGTCCCTTGTCTTTTCTCTGTCCCTCTGTCTCTCTCTGTCTCCCCCACCCGACCCTCCCTCAAATACAGCTTTATCAAGATTCACATACTGTGCAATTTATCCGTTTAAAGCTTACAATTCCATTCTTTTCAGTATATTCACCGACCATCCCCACAATCAATCTTAGGACATTTTTATCACCCAGAAGGAAACCCCATTTCCCCCCCAGACCTGCCCCCAACCCCAGCCCTAGGCAGCCCCTGGCCTGTTTTCTGTCTCTGTAGGTTTGCTTGCTCTGGACACTGCACACAAGTGGAATCATGCACTGTGTGACCTTTTGCGACTGACTTTTCTGCTTAGCATCCTGTTTCTAGGGTCCATCCATGTAGTAGCGGATGTTAGTTCTTCATTCTTTGTTTCTTTTAAGTTTATTCATTTGTTTCGAGAGGGGGAGAGAGAGAGAGAGGCGAGAAGGGGCAGAGAGAGGGGAGGAGAGAGAGCAAATCCCGAGCAGGCTCCATGCTGTCAGCACAGAGCCCGATGCGGGGCTTGAACTCACGAACAGTGCGATCATGACCTGAAACCAAGAGTTGGATGCTTCACCAACTGAGCCACCTGGGCGCCCCCGTTCTTTCTTTTAAGTTCAACTTTTTCTCTCT